GTGAGATGTCATAGCTAGAAAACTGGGAGACTGAAGATGTGGATGGGATCCAGAACAGCAAGGCTGCCTTTGCATGGCTTTAGATAGCTGAAACTGAAGAGACATTTTTTTTTTTTTGTAGAGCAGAGAAAGTGATAAAATGCTTGTAAGCAGCTCTTGCTTTTCAGAGAAACACACTGCCCAGCTGCTGAAGGGCTGGACTAGATGTGCCCCCTCCAGGGACAAAACTTGTTCCCCTCTGCAGACTTAGTGTCTCCTCCTTATTTTCCAGTGAACAACTACATGGAGTCTAAGTGTGAAACCATGCTTCAGGAAATGCGGAAGTGCTGCTCCCGGTACCCCAAGGGCAGATCCGTCTGTTGTTCAGGGTTTGAGAAAGAAGAAAGGGAGAGAGAAAAGTTCAAGGCGACTTCAGAAGGAATTCCCCCACCACCTCAGTAACACAATGCAGCTCCAGCAGGTGCCGGAGCACGGACTCACCTGCAGAGCTTGTGTGTGTTTTTTCAAGCCTTCTTTAGACTTTCAGGAAAGCCAGATTGCTCCTAGAACACACCACCCGGCACACCAAAAAGTATAATGCAGTACCAACAGATGGCCTGGTTAACAGACTTTATTTTCTGTACCAAAACAACATCTACATTGTCTTTGCATTGCACCTGTGTCTGTGAAAAGTCAACTTGATGTTTTTAGAATGCTTACCTTACTCTAATCTATCCTTGCTCTCAAAATGGAGAACTGGAACCAAGTTATTCTGGCTTCTGGAGTGAGAGTTACAGGAAATAAGCTCAGAAGAGTGAGTGAGTTTAAGCATGACACGTGAAACAAGCCCATCTTGACATAGCAAAGATATTGCTGCCATCATGCAGTAGTTCTAGACAACATTTGCCTGTCCAGTGGTTCAAGCTCAAGAATGGGAATCAGGTCTGGGGATTGTTCCTAGGTCTTGCATAGATCACGAGTGACTACAAGTCACTTTGCCCAAGTGCCTCACTTTCCCACTGGACAGACTTTGTATTTGAATTGCCTACACGCTGCTATTTGCATGACAGAGATGTTACAGGAACATTATTTCAGGGATTGCTACAGGAATAGGATTTTTTTTTTAAAAAGCAATATTCATTTGAAAGATCTGACTGTTGATATAAAATTTATAAATTTATGTATAATTGAGCACCTTTAAGCAATATGTTATGAACCCAGCGTAGTTCAACCCGCTGGTACCCAGAGGCCTGTCACAAAGCCCTGGGCTAGATCCAAGAACTGATTTAGGTGCTGCTTACTGAACAAGCAGTTGTAGACACTTGCTTTCAACACAGCATTCCAGACTCACTCACAAGCCAGCTGTGTCTGGACCCCAGGGAGAGATGGCTTTTCAGAAGCTCTCACCTGTGCAGCAGAATTTCCTGTGACCTGTAAGGAAGAGCTTGGTAGACAGGTTCCTGCATCACCCTTCAGAGCTGCCTAAGTCTCTCTGTCCCCTGTAGCAGGAGTCCAGGCACCTCAGTGGGTGCCAAGTCCATTACAGGGCCTAGGCACCTAAATACCAGACTTTGAACCCACTAGGCCCCTAACTCTGTCATTAGATCTAGCCGTAAAGGACTTTTGTGCTGTGATCAAGTACAACTTACTTATGAAATACAGCTTCTGTAAACAGACCACTGTAGTCTAGGCACAATAGTTGAGTGTATTGAAGCCTAGAAGAGCAAACCATCTGTATTCACTGCTCTGAAATACCATGATACAAAATAAATGACTGGAACAAACTGTAGTCTCAGTTTGGTTGTTTATTGAGAATACAACATAGCTGTAAGCCAGGCAGCTCGGCTGCCATTCACAGTCCAGATCAACATGTGACATCATCATGTTTAAATAGAAGCTGCTTGATATTTTTATAACTGGGGCTCAAGATCAGAATAATTCAGGGCTAGCCTTCCCCTTCCTCTCCCTCCCCACCAAAAAAACCCTTAAGACAAAATAGGGGTTTTAGTATTCTTGAAAAGTATGGGAAAGTGATGACAATGTTGTGAAACAGCTCAAACACTTAACAAGTAGCTCATTTTTCCCTTTTGCCCTATCTGAGCAGGAGGAGTGGAAAGTAAGTCACTAATAGATGATAAAAAATAAAATATTTAGGCTTCTGTTGCACCTATTAAAAAGAAAAGCCTCATCTCCGTGCCCATTTCTACTTGGGTGGAGCAAACTTGCTCAGCAGGGGGGCTCTGAAGCCAGGCTGGCAGCAGAATCACCTCCCAACCCAGAAGCATCCCATCTTCTGGGAACATGGGTGATTGGTGCCAGGATCATCAAGGAGGCAGATTTATTAAGGCAGGCCATGGTTACCTGCAGAGAATAAGGAAGGCTGGTGGCCGCATGCTACTGGACTGGCTATAACTGCTCCCATGAGTCAAACGCAACATGCAGGGTAAGACAAAACCACGCTGGTTCCCAAGAAGTCAAAAGACCTCACACATAGAAGCTATTAGAGCAAAACTATTTAATAAAATATCACTTCAACAAGCATTTACATATAATATATAAAAACACTTTAAAAGCATAGTGTGTTTTAAAACTTCTCATACTGGAACAGACACCAGAAGTTGTTGGAACAAGAGTAAAAGGAGCGGGGGTGGGCGGGGTGGGGGAAACACCTCATCTTGGCACCTGCATCAATGAAAATGCATCCCCACAGAGGGTGATTCAGCATCAAAGCTTCCAGTGTGGGTCCACAGCATCAAATGGTGCCAGCCACAAGCCCAACACTGGCACAGCGGAAAGATTTGCCATATCCTGATGTCCTTGTCCATTCCCTGCCTGCATTCACATCAACCTCAACATAAATTTGAAACTTTTTTCCCCTTCCAACAGCAATTGAGTTTTAGCTCCCTCTCTGGGCCATTTCTCTCCAATAGCAGCAAGTCAGGACCCTGTGGAGCAGAACCCTGTGCACCCTTCCCTAGGGCTGGGCAGAAATAGTGACTTATTTGAGCCTGAAAAACATCCATAAGGTCTGTTAATAATTTACTTCAAGCTTTGTCGTTGGAGAAAGCTTTGTGGAGATTAGCGCATCTCAGAAGTTGTGTTATGCAGCACACCAGGCAGAGGGGCAGTGATGCTGTTTTCCTACAGGAACAAGAGATACCCTTGCAATACAAATGTATCAATTCATGCACTTTCAGCCCTGCAGGGTTCCTACAAAAAAACCCAAACAACAACAACAAAAAAAACCCCAAACCACCACCATCATCTGTCACTCCACTCCCAAACACCAATTTACTGAAGACCTATTTGCTGCATCATATCACTCCTGCAGTCCTGGATGACTTTTTGGAAGACCATCATTAAAAGGATGTGAGCCCAGCTGCTCCTTCATTCTCTTTGGCCATGTATGGCAGGACAGGAGTAAAGATACCAACTTATGTTTTCTGATTACCAGCAGCTTCTTTTCAGATCCTGAAGGTGAGAAAACCGCAGCTAAATCAATGTGTTGCTACACTGACACTTCAATCAACAGAGCTGAAACAAAATTAACAACTGCAAGTGCTCAAAACCTCTGGTGGAAGAACCCACTGTTCCAGCTCTTCTAGCAGCTCTCAAGAGAAGATCCCCACTTCTAGCCATACTGAGAGCAGCAGCACATAATCCAAAAGGCATTACACAGCACTGGAGATGGGGTGCACCTGCTAAGCCAGGTGCTGCATCCCAATCACCCATGCATGTCATCATTCCCTAGCATGTTTCCCATTGCAGGATTGGCTGACCTTCACATAAAAAAAAAACCCCATTCTTCACAAGAACTCCTACATGTACCTGCTGGAGGACATCACCCCCCCGTCATGCAAGTCCCCACACTCTGGAAAGTGGTGATGCCAGCCCAGCACAGCCAATGCAGGACACCTCTAAGGGATAATTTTTTTTAATTTTTTTTTTTTTTCCTCTTGTAGGTTAGAGTTCTGCTCTGCACACAGCTGCACTGGGACAGATTGTCCAAAACCAGCTCTCCATCTGGGCTGCCTCATCACCTGCAGGAGCAGCACTGCAGCTGATGGAATTAAGCAAGCAGCTTTTTTTGTGGAAATGGTAAATGCAAAGAAGGAACATAACCAAGGAGGAAAGTATGGAAATGAGCCACTCCCACAAGAGCACAACCTGGTTTTCCCAACGGTTCTGTCATTTCAGTTGCTTGCAGAGACTGGGGAGATGGAGTCTGTGCTCTGCCGAGGCAGGCAGAGGACTACACTCCAGATTTCACACGCTCCCCGCCACCACTCCAGTAGAGCTAGCAACAGGGACACTGGACCAGTACAATGTACCCTTAACAGGGATGCATTTCCTGTCTACAATCCTGTCCCACATGGTTACAGCTCTAAGAGCATCACCAACACCAAAGTGGCCAGAGAAGGTCATGGTAGATGTAGAAACAGTAGTTTGAGGCCCAAGGTGATTTACTGTAAAGTGGCACAGCTGAAACGCACACCGCCTGCACCAGCTAGCCTGACAGAGAGAAGTCAAGCATGCTGGAAGCCTGCCCACCACAAGAGAGCGCCTCAGCACATTTCAAAGGCTGAGCACTCAGCTAGCAAGTGAGAAAGGCACTCTACAGTGCAGGAAGCTTAAGTGACTTTCAGAACACATGATGAGGAAAGGGCCTAAAGTCACCCACAGTGCTCAGTTTCCATCAGCATTGCCAGTGCTGCAATTCCAGTAAGGAGTATAAATAACAGCAGAGAAGCAGCCAGATGGCCATCTATGTGCAGTGCAATGGCAGGAGGAGGGCAGAACTCCCAGAATCACATGAAAGAGTCCTTCAGCAAGCATGAACCTGCTCCTTAACCACCTGTCCTGGACACAGCCCAGGATATCCCGATACTTCTGCATCCACCCCAGGACAGCCAAGCACATTTTGGATTGCACACACCATCTCTGTGCAGAGGGAAGCACAGGCTTTCTAGGTACCGGGGCAGAAAAAGTGCAAGCTAAATAGCAGTGAGCAGCTGACAGCTGTTGTACACATATACTGGCAGACATGTAACTGGTACATGTAACAGCCCTGAGCACCTGGGAAGAAGCGCATTTAAGAGATTTCTCTGCCACTACATGTTTATGAGGCTGCAACTCATCAGAAAATTTGAGACTGGGCATATTTGGTGGGGAAAGGAATCACAATGATACACTGGGATTCATAAGCTTCCTGGCACCCTAACAGCCCAGACAGAGGAAAAAGTTGAAAATCAGAAGCAGCTTTGTAAGAAAAAAAGATCCCAGGAACCTGGGAGCAGAAGGGACTGAGCCTGCTGGCAACATCCTTTGACTTCTAAGTGAGAGAGAACAGCAGTAGAGGAGGGCAGGGGAGGCTGGACATGAAGGGAGAGCAGAGTGCAGTTTCTAGGATGCCATTCCAAGCAGGAATCCTCCAGCAAATGCTCCAGTCAGGATAACATTCTTCTTCAGAAATATGATCACCTAAGCAGGGGAGAGAAGAGCCAACAGTGTTCAACAACAGCAGGTCACTCACCCACCCACCCTCCCCATAAGAAGACATCCCTCACGCTGTTCTCCAAGGTGAGTGATGCTCGGAGAGAGGCCACTGCTTGGGTCTGGGAAAGTATCCTACCTAATGATCTCCCCTCCCTAATCTCCCTGGTGCATGTACAGCTCCTGAACTGATCCAGTCCCAGTGCAGCCTAGATGCTCTGAGAGCTGCAGGCCCAAGCCTATGTGCTCCAGGGTGCTCTCAGAACCAGCACTGAGTCTGACAGAAGGGGCTGCTGGGTGTGCCTGCCAGACCAGGGTACAGCAGAGCCCAGGGTAACTAGGCCACTCTGCTGCCAGATCTGCTCAGCTTTTCTTGTCAGACTGAAGAGACGCTTCTCCCCATAACCCCAGCACATTTTCTCCCAACCCCAAGGAATTTGTGGCAACACATGGTGAGCTAGTGTCATGCCTAGAAGCCACCCTGGCTGTCTCAAATATGCATAGATAGCTTTGCCATCTCTCCAGTTTTGCTTGTCATGTAAGCTGTCCTTGTATTTGCACAAAGGAAGATCTATAACAGCCCAGGAGTCAATCATTTTCTGCTGTCCCTCCAGCTAAGCACCTGCACATGCCCTGGGAGAGTTGTCTCACCTCATCCACTCTGGTTTTCACTTCTGGAGACATTTTGTTACCACTGCTGTGAAATTTCAGCTGCTGCTTGGCTTTGTTCACGTCCCGTTCTACTAGCTTCCAGTCTACTTTGATGTATCCCGTGTGGTTTGCAATCTAAAGTTTTGAGGGGTAGAAAGAAAGTTCCTGGAGTAAAGTCCTGCGTGACCATGGCTAAACAGACCCCCTTGCCCACCCACCTTCCCTGACCACAGCCACCTCCCACATACTGGTCCAGTGGGCTGAGAGGATGAGCACACCAGCTTAAAAATTGGACAAAGGACCACCCCTGTAGCTGTATTAACCGTCCTGCAACAGTCTCCCACAGTAATCCCCTAACAGCAGGGCACACATTGCAGCTTAGCCTGCTTCAGCCTCTATTCTCTAATGTAAAGCTGGCATCACCTCCCCCTCGCAACTGCCATGTATATCATTAGGACTCTCTGCAGCTCTCCTGCTGGTGTGGGTGGACTCAGCTATTAATAGCCTGTTCCTCTCTAAATATTTGATCTGGTCAGGATGATTCAGCAGTGAAACTCTCCCTGCTCAGAGCAGGTTTTCAGCACAACAAGCAGAGCCAGGAGAACGGGGGGAACAAGTCACACACAAGACAGCGCCTGAGAAGCAAACAAATAAGACTGCTGAGTGAGGCCTGAGGGCTGTTCTCCCTCCTGCAGGATGTACAAGCTAGATGTCCACATCTGAACAGCTCCCCTCAGTGCCAGGGTTCTTGGAAACCAGGAGAAATGGTTGAGGACAGAGAGGGATCTCCATTTCTCTCCTCTTCCCCAGTGCTTTACTGAGAGCCCAATCTCTGCTGGCCTGAGTCCTCAGGTAGCCAGGTTGACAGGAAGCATATCACAGATATGGACAAATCCCTCTTGACATCCAGGGCTGTTCCTCCAGGGACACCATCTCCACAGGCATAGGACTAAGTACAGTAGCCAGTTCTGACCAGACAGTCCTGCAGCAGCAGCGTGGTTTGCTGCAGCTGAAGGCTCCCTCCTGCTTCACTCAGGTGCCCCTGCAGTTAACAGCCCCCACCTGCCTTTGGCCTGGCCTTCGTTAGCAGACCCTAAGCAGATAGCACCTTTTGGCAATCCTTAAGTTTACGCACACCGATCCTGCTTTGCTGCTGCATCTGTGTACCCTGGGGAACACATGTCTTTGACATCCATGGCCACACAGAGCTCCTGGCAGAGCAGGGAATTGGCCTCACACATCCCAACAGGTAATGATCACTAGACAGCCCTTTGTCCCCACCAGCACAGTTCTCAGAAAGCCTGGCCCACTGTTCATACACACCTGAAGTAAGAAAAAGCCACCTCCCACCGCTGTCGCTGCCAGCTTTCCAACTTTCTGGAAGATGAATCCAGTACACCTACAAATCAACCAGGATCCAGTCAGGAGAATGAGATAGCAAACACACACTCCTCAGCATGCTTCCCACAGGCAAGGCTGCCTTTGGCAATAATTACCCAAGACTCAGAGACAGCCTGACGAGCAGCAGAAGAAACCCACGTGCAACCAGAGAGAAAGAATTTGCGCCCAGCCAGAAGTGATGCTTTATAGGTTTTTACTTCTCACTATCATATTTTAGCCTTTTGCAGTTTTGATTCTTATCTCCAACGTCAACCTTCTCCAGAAAGAGTAATTGGAAACACATGATTTCACCAAAATCAACAAGTGATTTTAACTGGGTTTTTTTAACTGATACCATCTTTGAAGGGAAATTAGGCAGCACATCTGCTGCTGCTCCATGCCAGAGCATGGGAGTCAATCACAAGGCAAGCTTCTGTGTTGCCCAAACAACTGCTTACTTTCCCTTTTAATTTCTCAGAAAAGAAAGATGTTGAAACAAGCAGACAGCAGTGGTCTAAAGCAATACTGGTCTCCAAACTCAACATAAAAGACATCACTGCAGCCACCAGAACTAAAGCAAGTGCCACCCCATTGCTCAGTCATGCAGCAAAGGGCTAGCGTATAGTATCACCCAAACCAGACTTTACTTTGACCAGTTTCCTTACCAACATTGCAAAACAACACAGCAACCTGCTCTTACCCATTTCTGAATACATACACTTAGTAAAGATACAAAATAGAGGTGGCCAGCTCTCATAAAAATAAAGATTTGTCATACACTTTTAAATGGTCACCCCTGGGCCAGACAAAGACGACAGGCACAGCAAGAAGCAAAGCAGTGTGATTTCACCAAGTTTTCAACTCAAACAATGCTGCTGTGGGAATGAAGTTGCAAACAGAGTCACAAGCCACCAACCCCAGCACTTGCTACAAGCAACACGAAACCCCAGGAACCATGCCCACAGGTGCAATAAGCCACTTCCACAGGAGGTTTTCATGCAGAAACCTGAAGCACATCCACCTGCAGGCAAGAGGGTATCCTTGTTCCAAGAGGCTCATGTTTGCCTGTCCTAAATTCAACACCACCACTTTATACTAGAGTTGAAGAAAATTATTTTGCCTCAAAAACTAAAGCCTGATGCCATTTTCTTCCCTAGGAGATAGTCTCCATTCTTCAGCTGCAGCACATTTGAGACAGCTTTTAAGACCTCCCACAGTTCAGCAGAGCATGCCAGAGCACAGTGGGCTGAGCAAGCTGGACACTTGCCTTCTCTGAAAGACTACCAGATGACCATCCTGCACCTGTCAGCATGTTCCCAAAAGCCCAGCTAGTGCCTGCAGGCATGCTGCCGTCCACAAGCTGCAATGGCAACCCCGGCACATCTTACCATCCCGTGACCCCTCCAATCACCAGCTGTGTGGCCACATTGTACTTCTCAGCACTCGACCCCGAGCTGGGGGCAAAGACCTTGCGCCACCAGGGCCGGTTCTTGGTGTACTCTGCCAGGTCCAGCACGTTGAATGAGTCCTCCTTCACACCTGCAGGCACCTGAAGACACTCAGTGCTGGGACTGCTGTCCCACAGCCCTCTGTCAGCTGCCCAGGGCCTCCCCAGGGACATGGGACCCCTGCCCAGTCACACATGGGGCCCAGC